CATAGCCATTATGCTAACTGCTGGTCCCAAAGTAAAATAATTTTTAAAAATCACTTTGAAGAATAATTGGAAAGAGTTACCTGACTAGGATCAGCAGATCCAGAGCAGGATTCTAAACGCTCTTTTTCTTAATTTCTTTCTTTCTTTTTTTTCTTTTGTGTGGGGGGAAGGTTTTTGCTATAGGGCATGTGCTCTACCCAGAAAGACAGAGAGAGGCAGAGAGACTGAAAGCGAGAAATCACCCCCCAAGGGGATGGCCATGCGGCAATCCCTTCTCCTCCATTCTCCTCTCAGGATCTTGGGCACGCACGCAACGCGCCCGGCGTGAGTTTAAGCCACCGGGTCTGGGACTCAAACGGCAGTCAACTACATGGAAGTCCAGTGACATAGCCACTATGCTATCTGCTGGTCCCTAATCGAAACACTCTTAATAGTACAAATACAGGGAAACCATTCGTAAAAGCAACTGCACTATCTTCTTCTTCTTCTTTTTTTTGAAGTGTAAACCTAAACGAGAGGGAAATCTTTAGACCCTACAGAAAGAAAGAAAAGAAAAAAAGACTTTACAGAAAACCTGCATTTAAGAAAAAGAAAGAGTGAGTCCTACAGAGACTGCGCCATGTCACGGTACTGGCAGATAAGTTAAAGCAAATGTGAAAATCAAATGTCACCTCGGCAGTGACAGGAGTTTCAGAAATGGGGGTGGCTCACATCTCATGTACACTCCATGGACATTTATAACAAGGGCCCTGTCAGGGTTTGGCTGTAATTCAGAGAGCTGCAGATTGCTAGGCACCTGTCATGTGACAAGGGATTTTAAGAGCCTACAGTATACTTGCAATAATCATGCTTTACATTTAAATAGTAAATTTTATACCTTATCACCAGTTTGGGGTAAGCATTAGCTTATCTGCATTAGAAGCTTTAGATCTTTCACTTACCTTGTAGTCTTTCAGCAAAAGTCCCTGATATTTAATCTCTGAGATTTGGGTTTCTTTGCTCATGAAATGGGGTCCTATCGTGTTTTTATTGCCCACAGCTATTTTACCTATCTATCTAGCTAGCTAGCTATTTATTTATTTTGGAGAGGTTTTTGCTATAGGGTGCATGCTCTTGCCAGAAAGACAGAGAGAGAGACAAAGAGACAGAAAGTGAGAAATCACCCCCCAGTGAGGATGGCCACACCACAATCCCTTTTCCTCCATTCTCCTCTCGGGATCTTGGGCACGCACATACACATGCCTGGCGCGATTTTAAGCCACAGGGTCTGGGGCTCGAACCACGGTCAATTACATGGGAGTCCAGCAACATAGCCATTACGCCATCTGCTCATCCTGCCCACAGCTATTTCAAAGGACGGATGTGACTAGATGAAAGACTTCCAAAAATGTAAAATAAAATGAAAATGTGTTACGATTATTAGTGATTACTAATAATACTGAGAGAAGTGAGAGTTTCCTTTTCAAGTCACAAGGGGATTGACAGGAAGGAGATGCACCCCAGCTGTCTTGGGTTCATGCCAGTTTTCTATGGTAGATACCATGGGCAAGTTTAAAACATGAACCTTCCCTTATAGATTTTTTTTTTTCCCCAAAGAACTCTATGGGAAAATGGACTTTAAAAGGCAGGGCAAATTCCAGCCTTTGAATACCATGAATACCACTAGGAGACAGAGAATGGAAAATAGTAAGTCTCTTTTAACTCTAAAATTTGGTAGCCTGATAAACTGGGCCCTTCCCCCTGTACCAAATAGCACTGTGGAGGCCTTTTTTTGGGGGGTGGGTGGGGAGTCTATCTTAAAAAAAGGGGGGAAATAAAAAAAGAAAAGGCACTTCAGCAAGATGAGATGCACTGCATTCCAGTTGACTGAGTAGCACAAATAAATTACTATGATTCACTGTAATCCATGACCGGATGGCTACTATCGTGAAATACAACATTTGCACAATTTAAATAAATGCAACAGATACCAATTTTTAAAAGATCTAGTAGCCCCTGTAATTTTTAAACAAGGAGTAAATCACACCTAAATTAGGTTCCAAAAAAAAAAATGTTTAAGCCACCGAAATGATTTAAAATAATCTAGTTCTAGGTAGTGCCGAGTAAGAACAAGTCTTCAACTCTAAATATTCTAGAATTTTCATCATGTTATTGATTTTTCTCTCTCTCTCTTTTCACCTATCTGCCTTTCCTTTTACAATTTCATGTAGTACGGTTATGCTGTTTTAGGCAATAAAAACAAGAGAGGATATACACATAAACGTATTTTTAAAGCAACAGATGAATCTACATATTACAGATTAGAAACCGTATCAAAGGACAGCCATTTGGTCTGCATGTTCAGTGGTGGGAATATACAGATATCTTGTTTTATGCGTTGGGACTTATTAGTAAGAAGTCTTGTCCTCAATATGGGTAAGTCCTCACACTTCCCCCTCTGCCTCCCGCTATGGCCTCTCTGGCCTAGATAGATTGCTACTTCAGCAAAATGACCTGGTTGGAGGGCGTGGCCTGGCTTGACAGATAAGTGGCGCTGCTCCAGTTCTGGCCAGCTTAGGCCCAGGCTCAGGGCCCAAGGTTTCTCATCCCCATTTCTAGACTATTGCTGCATCCAAATGTGCTTCACTGCCGACACCCAAGGAGCAAAGCCAGGACAGTGGACGGCGACCCCAGCAAGTTTCCTTATGTTAAGTTTTCTCGCTGGAGACAAAACGGAGGTGACAAGTGAAACTGCTAATGTTCTGAAGACCTGAGGTGCCAAGACTGCATCATCTACAGTATGAGCTTCTGGTCCTTCTCTCTGTGCACTTGACTGGCCCCATCCCTGGGGAAAGAATAAATCAAGTCAAGGTGCCAAGGGGTCCTCTGAGCGACCCACTAGGAACGCTCTGCCAGGCAACAAGGGCCCCAGCATGGGAGGGCCACCACAAGCTTGCCAGTCAGGGGCCAAGGGTCACTTGGGTCTCCTGTCTGCACCAAGCTGTGTGTCACCTCCCCAAGCCCAAGTCACAGGCTTGTTTCTCAGCGTGCTGCCTGGAACACGGAAATGGGTCTGTTAGGGCAAAATCCATTGTCTGCAAAGGGAACCAGTGCATTTCAATGTGAGATTCTGCAACTTTAGTATAGTTGGGACATTCGAAATTTACAGCTACCTCCCTTTTGTATGTTTTGGGTGAGCAATGTTACCATTCCCCTGGGCACACATAAATACAACAGCTATCACATTTAAAGCTGTGATTCATGGGAGACACTTCACAGCAGCATACAGCCATGTCAATAATGTCATTAATAAAAACTGTCACACTATAAAAGAGTTAACAAATGTAGCACAGCTATAAACTTGTGGTCTTGAAATCCCTTGGCAGAGCTTAGAGAGTGAAATGAAGACGACAGAGCTTCACTTCTGAAATTTTCATTTAAGCCACAGACTCAGACCTTTGCTGATTCCTGCTTTTATGAACTGTGGCAAGAAAAAGTTAATATTCCAGATTTGCGATAAGAAATTTTGGAACGAGGGGGACTGAGAAGGGCCAGGGGAGGACCTGGTGGTGGGGAGAGAGTCTCGTGGGAGAAAGGAGCTTCTGAAATGAGAAGGAAGTCAGAGAGCGGGCACAAGGTGGAGGGAGATGGCACAGCAGGGCAGGCAGAGGGCCACGGAGACACCCCTGGTTAGAATATCATTACTTTAACTTTAATCACAAGATCTTTTTTTTTTTTTTTTTTTTTTGGTATTTAAAGCCAGTTTGCAGAAGACCTTACCTTTGAACCTCTTTGCCTCCAGATAACGCTGCTTGAAAAAAATTCACAAACATTTACACAGTTCACAAGTCATATTCACAGTTACCATACTTTGTCCATACACCTAAAATACACTCAGAGCAGTTTTGGGAATTTTTTATTTTAATTGCATTTCCAACACAAAGACAACATTCCACCCCACACATAATCCCCATCGTTTTAAACCAAGCCCCTCCTCCTGTACTCTGTAAAAGCGTGAATGATTGGCTTACCTTAGGCTATTTGCTAGAAAAAAATGATTTCATATTTTTTAAACATAGCCACACCCACTCCCTTGGATCCAGCCCCAAATGGTTCTGATCCAGACGCCCACAGCAGGTTAAGCGTTCCCCCTCCGCTTCCCATTCACCCATCGGTGTGCTGTGATGTGTGCGTCCCCGACCCCCAGATACCTGTGTCTGGGTTTTCAACAGTAAAGGCAAGAGGATTTGGCGAGCGAATGAGAAGTGAGGAAACGCTCAGCGCAAAGGGGAAGAGAGGAAGACGTGTAGGAGAAAGGTTACAGAGGCCAGCGGAAAGCGGCCCCTCTCCCCAGGCCAGGCCCAGCATATTACCCAGGGTGCCCCGCCACCTCTCTCTGCGCGGGCGTCGCGGCTCACTGCAGAGTGACAGCGCACAGGTACCACCTCGGTGCGGTCGCGGAAAGTTTCTGCCCGCGCCATGGTGCAAATCACAAGACAGCCAGTTCCCGAGAACGAGTACACCATCGGAGGGTGATTCGGGGACCCTGGGGGCGGGAACTGGGAGACGCTTGAGCATGACACGCACAGGCGGACACGGAATATGGACACCAACACACCAACGACAAGCTGTCTGAGTCCAAGCGGCCGAGCCAGGCAGGCGGGGCCACGCCTTCCCCAGTGACTCCAACCCACGCGGGCCGAGCAGCCCAGCCAGCGGAGCCCCGGCCTCCAGGCAGTTCCTGGCTCACCTGAGGCCCCCACCCGTCCAGCTGGCGCTGGCCTGTCTGGCTGTAAACGACCCTCAGTGTCCTTCGCACCACTTTTCTCCCTGGAGGGCACATACTTCGCCACCAGAACCCGCCCGAGCACCCGTCCCACTCCCGGGGCAAAGTTAGGGTCCCTCCCTGGGACTTTCCAGCAGGTTCTGCCCGCCTTTGACCAGACACCGTCCTCCCACTGCCAAGCCCCTAGCCCCCGCCACCGCCGCAGCCCCAGCCCCCACCCCGCCCGGCCCGGTACCTAGAAGCAGCAGGCGGTGCGTGCACATGTAGCCCAGCTTCTCGCCCTGCAGCTGCTTGTCGATGAGCCTGCTGCGTTTTCTCTCGGCGCGCTTCTGGGCACGCTTCTCCAGGGCTTCCTTGCGCATCTGCCTGCGCTTCTCCGCCAGAGGCACCTTCTTGACCTTGGGGGAGCGCGGGGCTTTGGGCTGGGGACTCTCAGATCGACCCAGGCAGCCTCCGAAAGCTTGGATGAGGAAGTTGCGGAGTAAGTTGCGCCGGGGCTTGCGGCGGCGGCGGCTCCGGCGGCTGCGGAACCA